GATCGGATCATAAGCTTCTTGACGAGAAGGAAAATACAATGTCGGTTCCTTCAGAAAGTTATCTTTGTCAATATCGTAGTGGTAATTTACATAACAAGTTATCTCCCGGTTCATTGTCTTGTAGTAGAAGAGTTTATTTGAAGAAAGATCCAATCCTATAAAGAATCGCCTAGCTGTTTCTTCAAATTCTACTGCAAAATCAGCAAAATATACAGCCTTCATAGCGATTGGACGATTTACATATCGATCCAACAGGGTGGTATGAAAAATACATGGGGATTGATGATCCAAACGTTCTAATCCCGCCTTGGAGTTCAACAACAAACGTCTCCGAATATGATTGGTGTTCATGAACTCCCACGACATGAGTGCATTTTTTTGTAAGGAAGACCAAGAATAAAATATATCGCCTCTTGAAGGATAATTTCTTGCTAAATCATGATATAGTTTCCAAGACAACGAAGAACATATAAAACGCAAATACGTTATAGTGCTGCAATTTTCTTCGCATTTTCTATTACCAAAATCAGAGGTGGGGGTTTCGTCGACGGAGCTTGAGGGAGTTGCTTTTAAGCAGGGTCTGAACGACTTGAAAAAGTGGGAGTTTCCAGTCAAAGGTATCATTACTGATGAAGGTTCGAGTTTCAAGGTTGGGATCATTCACGAGGGGATTGAGCACCAGATGGATGTCTGGCACAAAGGTAGATCATTGTCACGCAAGTTTGTTAGGTTTTTTGTGGATGCACGCAAGGTCGTTTTGGACATCTCAAAGGCGAAAACGTGTGAAGTCCTGTCGTCTGTGAAGGTAGAGGATCTCCGGGCCTGGTTGAAGGTTCATTTATGTCCTAGTTTAAAAGGAGTGAAGGGGAAAAAAACCAAACGGGACTTGATTGAAGCTGTCTGTTGTGTGCGGAAGTTCAGGTTTGTTGACCTGTCTAAAGATAACTCCCCTTATCTTTATCCCGAGATGCACGTGTCACTCGGGTGCGCCGCAAACGCGACCTGGGGACGACATGCACTGCAGCGAGCGTGTCTAATGCATGTCACGACAGGACTAGCATAGAGGGGTTAGAGATCGGAGGGGGTTTGACGGGTGAGTCGGTGGTTGTACCTGTCATGCAGTCCCAACAAGATGAGAGCCTTTGGGGGGGGGGGGGCAAGGGGGGAGTGAGGGCTGGTGGCATGCGTGCACCTAAGAAGTATGATGGTTTTGTTGTCATCGATATTCTCGATGATGACACTATTGGGTCTGTGGAGGAGGATGTCGGGCCAAATCTAGAATACAGTGATGTTGGGGAGCTGTGGGGTTATGATCCCTATCCTGATCATGGGGTGCGACCGTGCTCGGCCGCGTCGTTGCTTCTCCTGCATGCGTCCGCATCGTGCCACACCGACGCGACTCGAGGCATGAGATCAGGGACGAGGTCGGCCTGCGACGCAGTCCCCTCGGGTACATTCTTACTGTGTTTTTTTGCTGAATAATAGAACTCTAACCATAAATGCTTTGTGAATATGATAAGTATCAATTCGTGTTCCTCATTAATGGTGCACATGCAGGCAGCCAGGCGGGTGCGGCTGGGAAGGAGAACGATTTGCCAGAGCGACCTCGTCGGTGGGTGGAAAAGCAACCACGCAGTCGGAAGAGGAGTGGAGACTCGTTGCAAGATGAGGAGGGGGAGGGTTCGGACGGAGTGCTAGAGGAGGTTACGGTGGCGCAAAGATTTAGCATACACTTTCATCATGTGATGGCACGGTGTGCCGCTCTTTTCAGAGCGAACCGTCCCATGACACCTGAGGAGGTTGCCGAGGAGATTGGAGTTGCAGCTGATCATTGGGCCGGTGATCATTCGCGCTGCAGTCGGGGATCTGAGAGATCAAGATGTGTGACAGATAAGTGGGGCAAAGAGAGCGCATTATACCAGTATGGTTCGCGAATGCATCTTGCTTTCAGGCAGTGGCTTTGCGAGAACTGTGACCCAGAGGAGATGCGACCATATGTGCATGGGGCTTGCAACTGGATGAATGAATCTTTTCATTCATTGATATGCAAGTATGCTCCAAAGCGCATACTGTTTTGTGGAAGCATGAGAGCCCGAGTTGGGCTAACTGTACTGCATTGGAACCAGGGTTTGGAAAGGGAAGTGCGGGCAACCAAGATCAGGATACGCCGTGCTACGCGAGTCCGGCGAGGCAAACTCTTCAGGATCTTAGGCCCGATGGATTGGAACTGGGTCGATGACATCATGAGGGACTGGGATTGTATGTCGTCTGACGGTGCAGAGGAAGGAAGATCTAGGGATACTGCCGTCACTGCTCCATCAACGCCGGAACCGCCCACCAAGAGACAGCGTAACACCAATGAAGGAACCACTGCAAGTCGACATACCCTGTTTGGTGAGTTTGTCTACCACGTTCTTGGTATAACCCTCGGTGCCCTGCACACATGTCGTTTAAAATTATCGGTCCAGGTTGGAAGTTACTAAAATGGTTAATCTCCAATTCCAATTCATTCTCCATGCAGGAGATGTCTCAAACGTCCGATAGGAACATCCCTTATGGCAGCCATGAAGTTGAGGTGAGGGAAGGGGGAAGGCGTGGGGCGGTGGAAGTTGCGGGGAAGGGGAAGGTGGTGTTGGGGGGGAGAGGTGAGGGGATGGGGTAGGCAGAGATACTTTGAAAATCAGACCTAAACGGATCCGATGCACACTCTCCACACCATATCGTCCTCAGAATATCACCATTTGCCTCTGCACAAACTCAGAGCTGAACGCGCCCCACAGAGTTGAACCGGAAAGTTGGTGAGGGGCAGGGGGAAGGCAGAGATGGTTAGGGGGAGAGGGTGATGGGCAGGGGGAGGGCAGCGATGGATTGGGGGAGTGGGTGAGGGGCAGGAGGAATGCAGAGATGGATAGGGGGTGTGGGTGAGGGGCAGGGGGGAGGCAGAGACAACAAGGGCGACTGGAGGAGGTAATGGAGAGCAAGTGAAGAGCAAAGAAGGGACAGAAGGAAAAAAACGTATACAAAGAGCAGGAAGAAGAGCGTAGGAGACCGTAAACTTGGGTCTCGGGATGGGATGGCTGGGGTGGAAAGGTACGGAAGCTGAGAAAGATGGGGGGAGAACTCACATCTGTACGACCGGAACCGCTTTTAGGGTGGGTGAATGAGCCCCATCACTTTCCCCTCTCCATTGCTCCTGCATTCTCCTCTCTCCACTGAACGCGCCCCATCATATTTCCCTCCGCACCTCTTCCTCCCCTTCTCCATTCTCTGCTGCCCTCTCTTGTTCCCACCCCTCATATGCAGAGCTGAACGTGCCTCTACACATCTCCCTCACGGCGACCAAGGATGCATCAGCCTCGTCGATGGCGGAAGCAAAGAAGCTAGCATCATCAGCAATCGCATCAGCAGCCGCAGCAGCAACAACAGCAGCAACAGCAACAGTCACCATCAGCAGTGCCAGTGGTAGTGTCAGCGGCAGCAGCAGCGACAGTGGCAGCAGCACCAGGCTTGGGTCTGGCATCCCAGCTCTGCCCTCCTCACCTCTCATGCTCCCCCAACTCTCCTCCCCCGCCCACCCTATTTCCGCACCCCCACCATCCTCCCCACCGCATGTCACACACGCATTCACCTGCCTCCCCCACCCGAAGGTGCCGTGGCGCCAGAGTCACAGCAGCCTCTCTCAGCCCCTTCCCTGCCTGGTAGCCTCACTCCAGCCCCCATTCGTATGCCCTCTTGACCAAGTCTCTGCTATGGCCCACACGGATCTGGATGTTGTGCCTGGATTTGGTTTGAAATTAGGCTCGGACGCAGGCTTGGATGCATGCTCCGGTGGAGGTGTGGGAGGGAATGATGGAGAGGATGGTGAGAGAAGCGGGCGGATGGACAATGAGAAAGGGATGAATGGAGAGACGAGAGAGGAGGACAACGGAGCAGAGGATGTGCGGGAGGAGGAGGAAAGGAGATTGAAAGAGGGGCGAAAAGTGGTGCGTATGCTGCAGGGGAGGAGGTGGGCGTGGACGGACTTTTGGGAGGAGATTGATGATGAGGTGAGTGAGTGTGGAAGCTGCCGCTGTCTGCTCGTGGTTTCTGCTTCTGCTCATAACTTGGGTCTGCATTTCATGTGTGCGTCTGTCCATCTCCTATCCTCGCTCACAACATCGCGTCCGACATCAGTCTGCCCATCTCTATTCACCCCCACCCTCCCGCCCCTGTCTGTATCCCTGCCTGCCCATCTCTCACTTTCTTCCCCGCCCCTGCCCACCTCTCTGCTAACGCGGCGCGGCTGCATTTTTACTAATAGTGGCGGCAATTGGAGCAACTCGCGCCGCCATGGCAAGAAACGAAGAGGAGGAACAAGAAATGATAGCTAAGTTCCAGACATGATTACACAGATAGGGCTAATTCCTAGTACTCTTTTTCATTTGGCCAACAAATGAGGGAAAGGAGGAATTCATATGACCATTACGGCAAGTCTTCACCGATAAACTATACTCTCTAGCAAATAGTTAGTAGGTCGCAGACTCCTGCGTCTCCTGCTTGACAATTGTCCTATACCTACCATCGAATAACCTCATGCCAAAATTTATTTCTTCAGGGATGACCCATTCCTGGTTGAACCAGTCCACATCACCTTGACTGCAGTGTTTGTAACCCTCGTCCGTTGGCTCAGGGAAAAGCGATCCTATCACGACGTGGATTAGCCACGGCAAAGCCACATGTGCATGCAGCTTATTACCTAACAAGGCAGAGTACTGAATGTAGCAGTGGAAACGATGGTTCTTAGCGGTCATAGGTTGACCTTCAGAGTCCTCATCCGTGTTTTTTCCCAAGCACACTCTCACGATGCTTTGAAAATCAGACCTAAACGGATCCGATGCACACTCTCCACACCATATCGTCCTCAGAATATCACCATTTGCCTCTGCACAAACTCAGAGCTGAACGCACCCCACAGAGTTGAACCGGAAAGTTGGTGAGGGGCAGGGGGAAGGCAGAGATGGTTAGGGGGAGAGGGTGATGGGCAGGGGGAGGGCAGCGATGGATTGGGGGAGTGGGCGAGGGGCAGGAGGAGAGGGGTTGGCGGGAGGAGGAGAAGGCTTGGTGGGAGGAGGAGAGGGGGTGGCGGGAGGAGGAGAAGGCATGGTGGGAGGAGAAGGCATGGTGAGAGGAGGAGTGGGGGTGGCGGGAGGAGGTGATGGCATGGTGGGAGGAGGAGAGGCGGTGGCGGGAGGAGGAGCAGGCGTGGCAGGAGGAGGAGAAAGCATGGTGGGAGGAGGAGGAGAGGCGGTGGCGGGAGGAGGAGAAGGCATGGTGGGAGGAGGAGAAGGCATGGTGGGGGGAGGAGAGGGGGTGGCGAGACGAGGACAAGGCATGGTGGGAGGAGGAGGAGAGGCGGTGGGGGGAGGAGGAGAAGTCATGGTGGGAGGAGGAGAGGGGGTGGCGGGAGGAGGAGAAGGCATGGTGGGAGGAGGAGAAGGCATGGTGAGAGGATGAGAGGGGGTGGCGGGAGGAGGAGAAGGCGTGGTGAGAGGAGGAATGGGGTTGGCGGGAGGAGGAGAAGGCTTGGTGGGAGGAGGGGAAGGCAAGGCGAGAGGAGGAGAAGGCGTGGTGAGTGGAGGAAAGGGGGTGGCGGGAGGAGGAGAAGGCATGGTGGGAGGATGAGAAGGCATGGTGAGAGGAGTGGGGGTGGCGGGAGGAGGCGATGGCATGGTGGGAGGAGGAGAAGGCATGGCAGGAGGAGGAGAAGGCGTGGTGAGAGGAGGAGTGGGGGTGGCGGGAGGAGGAGAAGGCATGGTGGGAGGAAAAGGCCTGGGGGAGGAGGAGAAGGCGTGGCAGGAGGAGGAGTGGGGGTGGCGGGAGGAGGAGAAGGCTTGGTGGGAGGAGGAGAGGGGGTGGTGAGAGGAGGGGAAGGCATGGCGAGAGGAGGAGAAGGCGTGGTGAGTGGAGGAGAGGGGGTGGCGGGAGGGGGAGAAGGCATGGCGGGAGGAGGAGAAGGGGACAAATGAGGGCAAGCAGGGTTCGAATTGATGGAAAGCGGGGGAGAATTGAGGGCAAGCAGGGGAGATTTGAGGGCAAGCAGGGGAGAATTGAGGGCAAGCAGGGGAGAATTGACGGCAAGCAGGCGGGGAAATGCGATCGTGCAAGGGGGAAAATAAGGCGTACAAGGGAGAAAATGAGGGTGTGCAAGGTGGGGAAACGTGGGCAAGCAGGGAAGGAAAACGAGGGCGTACCTGTGGGGCAATGAGGGCGTTCCGGGGGGGGTTTTGAGGGCGTGCAGCGGGGATGCGTAAGAACAGCCGTTGCAAGAGAGAGGGCCGAGGGCCTTATTCGAGTGCAGCTGGCGAGAGGAGGCCGCCGCTAGACGCGGAGAGGCAGCGAGGTGAGGCAGGGTGAAGCCAACGACGCAGGCTAGATGCGCATGCGCGGGAAGGCGATAGGAGGACACGAGTGGAGGCGAGAGGAGGCCGCGCGGGGAGGCGATGGTCGCACGCGCGGGGAGGCAAGAGGAGAGCGCGGGGAGGCAAGGGGAGGACGCGCGGCAAGGCGAGAAGAGGCGGCGCGTGGAGGCGAGAGGAGGCCGCGCGTTGAGGCGAGAGGAGGCTGCGAGTGGAAACGGGAGGAGGCCGCGTTTGGAGGCGAGAGTCGTGCGCGCGGGGAGATGTGTGGAGGCCGCGCGGGTAAGCGGGAGGAGAGCGGGGGGATGCGAGAGGATCACGAGGGGCTTCGCGAGTGGATAATGCGAGCCGGGAGGCGAGCGGAGCAGGAAAGGGTAAGATATGAGCTTATGGAAAGGGGATTTTGGGCGGCTCGAGCGCCGAATCATACAGTGGGAATTGATACTCGGGCAGCGAGAAGGGGAGATGGGGTGGCGCGAAGCGGAGGTCGGGCGACAAGATCGCGATCGTGAGAGCTTAGCGAGGCCTTGATTCCCCCTTATTTCGCGAAAATTAAGCTTGTGGATGCAGGGGCGCGTACACACACTCTCGCATCTGTGCGACGGAATAATGAGGCCGCAACAGCTTCGCGACGAGTACGGCCTTGTTCCGTCGCGTAGCGAGACCGAGCGACCTGGACTTTCGAGATTGAAACTATGTCTGTTTGAGCGTGCGCGGAGAGGGCTGGCGCTATATCTTTATGTGCGGAGTCTAAAATATTGTACGTGGCGCGTCAGCGACTTACGATGTCTGCAAGTTTTTCCTAGACAGGTGTGGTGCAAAACCTACCTCTTGTCGATCCGTCTCCTTTTGCATATCCTTAGGAGTTGAACATGAGCGAGAGGCACTTGTTGGGGGCTTGGTACGGGTCCGTGGCTTGTTATTTGGTAACCACTTTCAAGTTCCTTAAGATTTTGAAAGCCCTGCTTTCAAAAGTATACTGTTGCTTTAAGTAGTGTCATAAAAGTGATGCAAGTAGTCTTCAGTGGAACATTTGATTTTTTTTACCGGTATATAGATGATACAAGATGAAGAGAGCACATTCCTTCCTCTGCCTTTTCATGCTAATATGATGGACGTTTACATACCGTTTGCACGTCACGAGTGGCAGCGTCAAAAGCACCATTCAGCAACAGAGTGGATCTTATTGTGTTCCAAAAGCAGCTGTGGGATGAGATTCTTCGAATGCTGGAGTAATATAAGAATTCCTTGCCACATATGCAGCAACCAGCCGCCATAAGTTCACTATTAACCAAGTGCCAGTGTTAGGGGAGCGGATGGAACTCGAACAGGTGGTCAGAGTAACACAGGCGACGAATTGGCGGTTAAAGTGATTGTGACGGGGTGGGAGGAGCAGGTGAGGCGGAGTCCTCGCCTGCGTCTAAATTACCCCGTAGGTGCGCCGATCCTACGTATCATGCAAGCGCTCGTGGGTTGAATCGTGGAGCCTCAAACATCCAGGCATCTGCATCGAGACGCTTCGCCTCTGCCTGCATCTGCGCCACTGCTCCTTCCTTTACCATGGCCAGGGTCTCTGCTTTCCTCGCCGTGGTTGCCGTCGCTTCATCTGCAAGCCTAAGGAGTTCATCTTCTGACGGCACTTGCGGCATCGCTACACGACGGGATGGGCCTAGACCAAACATCGTTGGTATTCACGCAACAGGGGTCTTTCCCAATTTGAGCAGCAAGGAAACAACAACGCGACAGCACAATCCTCTCATCCGTAGAACATGGCGGTGTTTCTCAGCTCAACAGGTCGGTTGTGAAGAAGTGGAATTTGAAAACGACCTCTGCCAGTCAGTGAGTTCCACGATGCTCTTGTGTATGGTTGGCTTTGGCGTTGCCTCGCTCAGCAGAGCACACACCACTTTGCTGGCTTTCAGACGGGCCAGGGATGTGTTGGTTTGGCGGGAAACTGATCCGACATAGCTGCAGCTGCTTGAATCAACAACACAGCACACGAAATGTAGATGCGCGCGAAATTTCTGATTTCCGCAATATCGAAGTGAATGCGAGAGTATCGAGGTCGTGGATGGGTTAAGGGCGGTGTTCGCCACGACCCCGTTAAAGGCTAGGGGCGAGGGATGGGCGGGGGATCCAGAAGGTGCGCCAGAAGATGCGAACTACGTCCGGGGGCTCGCCGTCGGGCAAGGGGATCTCGAAATTTCGCCAATGGGATCAGGAAGGGGGACAAGGGGATCTAGCACCTGCCTCCCCCCTTCCTTTAGGGCGAGATTTCCCGGCCATCCCGTTCCGCGCCCCCAAAATTCGTGGTATGCACGAGGGAGAGGCGAGGGAGGGGATGGGGTTCCTAGCTGGCAGGGCAGGAAACTGCCATGCGCATTCCACGACAGCGAGCCCACCGAGGCTCGGAGGGGATCGTCAGGCTCGACAAGATTTTGTCGGTCTGACCGGCCCTAAAACCCTGATTTCAGCCCTTTCGGAAGGTGCATGGCGGGTTCCGGATCCCCCGCCCATCCCTTTGATGGCCTACAAAAGTCGTGGCGAACAGGGCCAAGGTTATATTAAGGTCATAACCTAGAGGTCGTGGATGGGATGTTCCTTGTTTGTGAGAGGGTCAGCCCGCCCGACAATATCGAGCCTGCTCTGGTTGGGTGGGTCAGTCCACCACACGACACGACTGTTGAAACACCGACGGCGACGGTTTTCCCTAGGCACAGCACCGCTGGAAACAACTAGGCGCACCAGTAAAAGCAGTTTTCCCTCGAAACCTACTAGAGCGCTCCATGTATCTTACAAACCCCTATATTACGCATTGAATCGTATCGAACCGCAAGTACGGAGGTGAAACATTAGAGTCAGGAGAGCTTTATTAGTTGCACACAGGCTCAGACATCCACCACAGAAGCGACAGTAGTTGAGGTGGTAAGGTGGTGGTGACACGGTTCGGCAATCCCACGCTTGTTGCAACAAGAGCCAATCCTAGAAACATCTCACCAACAATAGCTGCTTTATTTTCCACGAGTCTCTGAAACGTAATTTGATAATCCTGTGAAGTTTAGGGTCTAACTAACGCGGTTTTATTTTGCACAGGTTTCGAGCTGTCTGTTATGCTAATCACTGCTATTAGGGTTACGCGGTCGGCGGCTTTCATTAAGTTTGTCAAACTTATATCATATAGCTTGTCTAGGCTATAGTGGGGTAGACACTATGGGGTACAGTCTCCTAGGGTTTCCTACTTGTACCCAACCTTGTGCTAGTTCATTCATCCTTGCTTCTTCACATGGTATAGAGCAGGTTCCCTAGTGGGAACGCTTGCTTGGGCCCACCGCTAATTTTTTTTTCTGCCCGGAGCGTCAGTCGCTCCTGCCCGAGGCGCGCCCTCTTCGCCGCCCTTCCAGGCCCCTAGTGGCCCCTAGCGGCCTCGTCGTCTCCCCCGGTCTCTCCCTCCCTTACCTCCGGGGCCTGCCCCTACCTGCGTCCCCTGCGTCGAGGGGCGACAGCGCGCCGCCCCTCACTCCTCCGAGTTTCCTCCGACAGAGGCTCCGCTGGAGACTCTTCACATGGACGTGTGGGGCCCCGCCCGCGTCCGTGGCCAGGGTCACGAGCGTTACTTCCTGCTGGTGGTTGACGACTACTCGCGTTACACAAAGGTCTTCCCCTTGCGCAGCAAGGGTGACGTCACTGAGGTGCTGATCGACTGGATCCGCGCAGCTCGTCTCCAGCTCAGAGAGAGTTTCGGCTCGGACTTTCCTGTTCTGCGTCTGCACTCTGACAGAGGCGGGGAGTTTTCCTCTGCCCGTCTGGGAGCCTTCTGTCGTGCACAGGGCATCCGCCAGACCTTCACGCTTCCGGCCTCTCCACAGCAAAATGGGATTGCTGAGCGCCGCATTGGCATGGTCATGGACGTCGCTCGTACGTCCATGATCCATGCGGCTGCCCCCCATTTTCTGTGGCCGTTTGCGGTTCAGTACGCGGCGCATCAGCTCAACCTTCAGCCCCGGGTCTCCTTGCCAGAGACCTCCCCCACCTTGCGGTGGACGGGGAAGGTTGGCGATGCGTCTGCGTTTCGGGTCTGGGGATCTCGGGCGTTTGTCCGCGACTTGTCTGCGGACAAGTTGTCCCCCTGTGCTGTTCCCTGCGTCTTCCTTGGCTTCCCCCCTGACGCGCCTGGGTGGCAGTTTTACCACCCCACCTCGCGCCGTGTTCTGTCCTCCCAGGACGTCACCTTTGACGAGTCGGTGCCTTACTACCGTCTCTTCCCCTACCGCACTGCGCCCCTTCCCCCGCCGCCGCTCTTCCTTGCGCCAGGTCCTCCCCCAGTAGACCCCCTCCCACATCAGGGTCCTGCCCCGTCAGGTGTGTCCCAGGTAGACGCAGTCGAGCCTGTCGAGGTAGCTGTTGACTCTGGTGCTGCTAGAGGTGCTGTGCCTGCGGGTGCCGGGTCTGGAGGTGCTGAGCCTGAGGGTGCGGAGCCTGGGGGTGCTGAGTCCAGGGGTGCGGAGCCAAGGGGTGCTGAGCCTGGGGGTGCTGAGTCTGGGGGTGCTGAGCCTGGGGGTGCTGAGTCTGGGGGTGCTGAGCCTGGGGGTGCTGAGCCTGGGGGTGCGGAGCCTGGGGGTGATGGGTCTGCTCGTGTGGCCTCTCGCGGTGCTTCGTTGAGGCGGGAGCCACTCTCTCCGCAGGAGCTACGCGAGTGGTTTGCCCGGCGCTGGAGCCGTGCTGCTGGAGCTGGAGGTACTACTGTTGCTGCTGGTCCCGGAGGTGCTCGTACTGGCGGTTCTGGAGCTGCTGGGTGTGGGGGTACTACTGGAGCTGCTGGCGGTACTGGAGCTGCCGGTCCTGCTGGAGTTGGTGCTGCTGGAGGTGCTGGAGCTGGAGCTGCTGGGGGTGTTGGCGCTGGTGGTGCTGCTGGCACTGGTACGTCTGAGGGTGCTGAAGTTGGCGCTGTTGGAGCTGGAGGTGCTGCTGGCGCTGGTGCTGCCGCTGGGGGTACTGGTGCTGTCCCTGCTGGTTCTGGAGGCGCTGCGCGGCCGCGGCCGTACTTCGTTCCGCTCCTTGAGCAGGTTCTTTGTCTCCCGCCCTCTACTGGTCCTGCTCCTCCCTTAGAGTGTCCACAGCCTGTCCAGTCGCAGTCACAGTTACAGCCCGCCTCCCCCCTACCTGCTCCTTCTCCCTACACTGGTCCTACTGGAGGTCTTGCTGAGCGTCGTGAGCCTGCGTCTCGTCCTGCGTCGCCTGTTCGTGCTGCTCGCACTAGTCGTCGTGCTCCGCGTCCGCGTCCTCCTGCGGTCCCAGGCACACACCAGATGGCACTGCGTCCTTCCACTGCTCCTCTGCGTGTCCTTTTGCCGTCTCCTCCAGAGTCCTCTCTTCCTGTTCTTGCTGACCCGGAGTCTGACTCTCTTCGTGCTGCCAGTCCTACTGTCAC